CAGTATTATAATTGGCCAATTTTGTTTAATGTTTAGTGTTTTCGTGTTCGTGTCTTACGTGTTATAACGACTCTCCACAGTTATGAAGAGGATTATGTGTTTTTAACTGGTACCTGCTTGAAAATGAACCTTTAGGTTCGAAACCTGGGTCGCTGACCTAAATTCCAGGATCACTGACAGTACTACAGGTATTTAACCTTTTTATTAGTAAATTACGTGATCCAGAGGCTAAACATGCTAAAATTAGAAGCTTGTCAAGCTAAAGTAGCCTACAACTACAAGAATACCAAGTTAAAACTCTTCAAGACAATCGAAAACATTAACTTTAACAAAAGATGTCTGGACTATGGACTAGTACCAAAATATGTAGCATTTAAGACCAAAGTAAATACTGTGGCTGCTAAAATAGCTAAAAGAACCGCTGAGAAAGTTTGGATTAAAAGTGAGATAAAATCTTTGTACAGTAAAAAAACCATGCTAAATAAACTACTACTCAATAAGCACTTGGAACTCATGCACAACCTACATCCATCAATCCAGCTAACTGTTTTTAATCATTTAGATGCGCAAATTAACAGACAAGTACAAGCTAAAAAGAAAACTCAAGCCAAGAAAATAGATGCACTTATTTCAGCCCAGATACAGATCGAAATTATACAATGCAACCATAAATTTCATCCTAGGGTCGTAAACAATACCAACATCAGTTTCGATGATTCAGAAATGAGCCTACTAAACAAAGGCTTGAATTTTAACTTCCCAGACAGCAGGAAAAATAGTTTAATAACTGAGCTCCTTAATGCCGAAACAACAATAAAACACCTTGAATCCACTGAGGCCCGTGACATCTCACGAGTTGTCATTTCAAATAAAATTAAGAATGTTTTAAAAAACCCTATTCCAAGAAATAAATATGCCGCAAAATATAAGAACTTGTCATTTACTGCTACTTCAATCAAAAATAAACTACAAGAAAACAACGCAGTTATCACCAAAGCAGATAAAGGGAATTGTATTGTTATCTTAAAGGATGATTATGTCAACAAAGTCCACAATTTCATTAACGATAACAACATCGAACTTTTAAGCCATGACCCAACTTCCTCGTTTTCAAAGGACATAAACAAAACTATTTCACTCAGCACCAACCTTTTAGCTGCAGACGAAATTAAATACTTAAAAGTTACAAAACCACAAGCACCAATTTTACGTGGTTTGCCGAAGATCCATAAGACTAATATCCCGATCAGGCCGTTAGTTAACTTCACCCCTTCGCCTGCTTATAAAATAGCTAAGACTCTCGACAAAATCATTCGTAGAGAAACTAAGTTAGAGAATAGCCATTCCATTAAAAACACTATAGAGTTAGTCGACAAGTTATCAAAAATCAATTACAACCCACGATACAACATGGCCTCATTTGACATTGTTAACCTGTTCACTAATGTTCCAATCAATGAAACATTAAATATTCTAAGGAATAATCTTGATAAAAACTCCACATTATCAGATTACGCTAAAGAAGAATTGTTAACCTTAACCGAAGCAGTATTAAAACAGAACTATTTTATGTTTGATAATGAATATTACATCCAGAACGAAGGCATGGCCATGGGATCTCCTTTGTCCAGTGTACTAACTGAGCTATTCTTAAACAAAATCGAAGTAGAACACCTATGGTCTGATAAGAACCGCCAGAAAGATAAGATAATATTCTATTGCCGCTACGTCGATGACACGTTCCTTCTCTTTAATGGTAACATAAGACAGCTTAATATCCTCAACTCATATCTCAATTCCATCCATAAGAATTTAAAGTTTACTTTAGAAGAAGAGAACAACAACAAGCTTAATTTCCTGGACGTAACAATAACAAAACATCCCAACAATTTCACTTTCAATATTTACAGGAAACCAACCACAACTGACCAAACGATCCATTCTTCATCTCATCACCCGTACAGTCATAAAATGGCTGCATATAATAGCTTTGTTCACCGACTTATTTCTCTACCTCTTAATGAAGATAGTTACAACGAGGAACTTAACATCATAAAACATATAGCAGTATCTAATGGATATAAAAGCTCCATCATAGACAAGATAGTATCTAAACATAAAAATGAAAGTAGGCCTAAGGTGTCAAAAGATAAGCAGAAATACGTTTCCACTGAATATGGCACAGTATTGAACAATAGCCTTAAATCTGAAATGACTAAAAACAATTTTAAAATGTCATTTAAAACGTCAAATAAATTATCTTATCTCCTAAAACCACGAATTGTACAAAACACTGCTAATTTTGATAAGACAGGAATTTATAAAATTAAATGCAATGACTGTCCCAGCTACTACATTGGACAAACAGCTCGCTCATTTACGCAAAGATTCAAAGAACACCTGCCTAAAAAATCTACCAAATCTGCATTCGCAAACCATCTGATAGACACAAACCATAATTACACCGACATTGATACCAATCTGGACATATTGCATTACTGCAGAAAAGGCAAGCATATGAACACCATCGAAGAGTTTGAAATATACCGATCATCTAAAAACAGTCCTACCCATTTGCTCAATGAAAAATTATCCTTCGAGTCAAATTTAATTTACAATACTGCAATAGATATGATAGATGGCAGTGTCAGTGTAAGGCGAGGATCTGACAAAGACGGCAGTGGGAGGGGGCACATACGTCACGCTCCGACATCGACGCGTACGCGTGCCCAGTCATGACTCATCTTTTGCCGGCTACACCACGCACGCTACCGTACCAGTATTATAATTGGCCAATTTTGTTTAATGTTTAGTGTTTTCGTGTTCGTGTCTTACGTGTTATAACGACTCTCCACAGTTATGAAGAGGATTATGTGTTTTTAACTGGTACCTGCTTGAAAATGAACCTTTAGGTTCGAAACCTGGGTCGCTGACCTAAATTCCAGGATCACTGACAGTACTACAGGTATTTAACATTCTCGTTAACATTTTGTTTTGTACCACTTCACTGCAGCCACTTCTAAATAAGTTGCATGTGTGTTTCATTGCATTTTGGTTTAACTTTTGACCATTTTAATACAACACCAGACATTCCATCCCCATGTTATAAAAAGTTTGTCACTTCCCATATAGGGAATAAGCTATTACCACAGGTCTCATGGTAAGACACCGATCTAACTCTCGGTCTCAGGTCTCATGGCGGGACCGATTTACTTTTTCGTTTTAAGGTCCCAAGGGTCGCTGTCCAATGCGCCACCACGTCAAAAACACCATCCGTTCAAATTCATATAGGCCTATATACATATAAAATCCGATTTTAATGAAATTTGGTACAAATGTGTAAACTGCTCACCTTCTTACATTTATTTGAACGAGTTCGCAAACCAGCATAATCGGACTATGGGAACGGGGTTTTATGGGGTAAACATTGACCCCATTTTTGACCCATTTCCCATTTTCGCCCCAGTTTTGATCCTAAAAACAAAATTTTATAATTTAGAGAACTATTTTGTAGAGCTTAAAAAGGAAATAATTTTGTATATTGAAGCGTTGTTGTATGCCCAACGGTTACGGAGATAATTAAGAAAAAAAGTAAATTTAAAATTCCCACGTTATTCTTATGGAGAATATAGTTATTTGTGCAACTAGTGAGCAAAGGGAGCAATTGACTCACTCGAGAGGCGAGTGAGGAATAGTTTCTCGAGTGAAGCAATTGCACTTTGCACTCGAGTTGCACATTATATTTCTCCTACAGTTACCATAAAACAAATAAATTGGTAAACAAACGTGACATATTTTTACACAGAAGTGAACTTTTAATATTACATTTAATGATACAACAGTACAACAGCTGACCAGCTAATTTACAGCCAGTGCTGCCAACGTATTTCGCTCGCATACGACCTTTTCTGCATGTTACGCGCTCACTATTTCGTGCCTTCCCGTTGCAAATCTGGAGTGAGACAAAGTAATTAGAGTGAGACAATGTTAACATAGTCTCACCTAGCGAATTGGCCACTTTGCTTTCTCAAATCAGTGAGAGAACATGTACATTGTTAGATAACTGTAGGAAATAGATATTTGTGCAATTAGTGAGAAAAGTGAGGCAATTGCACTTTGCACTCGAGTTGCACATTATATTTTTCCTACAGTTACCATAAAACAAATAAATTAATAAAGAAACGTAACATATTTTTACACGGAAGTGAACTTTTAATATGACTTTTAATGTGAAGTGACAAATACAACAGTACAACAGCTGACCAGCTAATTTACAGCCAGTGCTGCCAACATATTTCGCGCGCATACGACCTTGTCTGCATGATACGCGCTTACTATTTCGTGCCTTCACATTGCAAATCTGGAGTGAGACAAAGTAATTAGAGTGAGATGTTAACATTGTCTCACTGATGAGCAAATTGGCCATTTTGCTTTCTCAAATCAGTGAGAGAACATGTACATTGTTAGGTAACTGTAAGAAAAATAAATTGTTCTACATTTCTATGAGATGGATTATAGGAGTTTGTTTGATTGTTAATATTAAAAGCTGTTTCTTAATATTACCAACAGCAGGAATTGCAGCTGATAACTTTATATTGGTGACCAATAGAGCTTTCTATATACCGTATTTCTATATCGTGCCAACATTAAGTTAACCTGTCAGGAATTATTCATCCCGCAAATTGTCAATCTTTAATACTTCGCCCCTTTTTTTAATTCCAGCATTTTCATGAATGCTCTTCCGCATTTGATAAATATTGTTGCGGATTTCTTAAAATCAAGAATTGTCACCCAATAGCCAATACAGTATCTATCTTTTAGTTTGAATCTATTTGTTCCGTAATTATTTAATCGATGCTCCACTTACATATAGACTCATTGCTCCAGCCTCGCTCCGCTGTCGTCTGCATTTCCTTATAACCTGTGGGTCTTAAAATCTGGAACATTTCGTTTCCGAACATTCCAGATTCGATCCCTAGAAAATAAAAGTTAACCTTATCCTTCAAGAACAAGAATCCGGCAGGGAAGTGCTCCGAGAATCAACCAACTCCAATTGTTTGCAAATATTTAATATCTGTTGAATGTTATAGAGCCAAATCATTGAAAATGTCCTATATTTTACGGTCCACAAAGTTTGTTCGGTATTTTTTTGGACTTGCAAGAAGTATTGTTACATCTAACCGGCAAGAAATTGATGGGGGCCTTCTGCAAAAGAACCACAATTTGGCAGCCCTATTTTCAAAGTAAGTTATTCTTTGCACTCTAAAACGAATATATTGTTCTCGCCCTGCTCATGGGTTATACTTATATTGACTTAGCTCTAGGCTAGTCTGAAGGGAGATGATAAGACATTCTTTAGAGAAAAGAACGACTCTGTCTTATGTAGGCCTAACTTAACAGTGAACTTACCACCCCTTACTAGGGATTTGCGATACTATCGATACCAGTAGGTATCGATACTTTTATTGCGATACTGCTGGTATCGCATCGATATCGGTTGTTCCGATATATACTTGGTATCGATACCAAGAGGCCAGTATAGTATCGTAAGTATTGGAAGGAAATATCTGACTCAAACGGTCCAGCTCATGCCTTCTGAGCGGTTATTTTTCAAGGCTGGAGCAATAGTGACAAAAAAAAACAGACTTTCACCCAAATATTTAGTAACTTTGTCTAGGCCTAGCTTAAGTTTATTTAGGCCTAAGTGTTATTTTCATTGCAACCCAACGTCAGCAATGTTGTGTTAAGCAAATAAAATGAAACCATGGACCAGGCCTATTCAACATCAAATCAAACTAATAAAGATGACGGTAGTTTTTTTATGTAAGCTAAGTTAGAGGACGCGTCTGGTAACCGTAGCCTACGTCGATTAGGCATCCGGCAGTTACTGTTATAAACTAACCAACTATCCAAACTTACCGATAATAAAAAAAAAATCGAATGAAGTATTAAATTCTGTTCATAGAGTAAAATTATAGGCCTAAATGCCCCAAATTTCAATAAAAGATGTACAGTTAAGAAGAATTGGCATTCTAAGCAAAATCTTTGACAAAAAGTTAATGTCACCGATGGGTTTTAATCTAAGTTAGATAACTTAAGTTACCTCTTGTACATCAGCCGATTGCTCTATATCCAATACACCACGAGCAACGATGGCTATACATCTATCGTTGTGGTAATGGTGTTCCGGGCCCCCACAACCCGGTGACCTCACTGCCGGATGCCTAATCCATGTTCGGTTACCGGACCCGTATCCTCTGCATTTTTTTAACTAAAATCTCTTTTTTTCAATTTTGGTTGATGGTAAACACAAATGATGAGTGTAGCCTATATGTTGGTAAATTTAATAAAATTTTCTTTTAAATCTATAAATTACCTATATAGGCCTAGAACATAAGGTAAGTTACTTAACTTACCGGTACTTGAACTTTTACCCGAAGGTAAAATTGAAAACAGGATGGTAGTGTTTGGTTAGTTGTTATCAACTTTATTACATAATTAGGTAGTTCTTAGCTGCTCGAATCCTATAGGGGGAGAGGGGGGTAGATGTGGACAGGGGCAGAAGTGGACAGTTTGAATTTCCGGCTAATTGAATGTTGGATTTAGTTGGCAATTTTGCCACAGGTAGGCAGTGGTGTAGTTCTTCCTCTCAGGAAGTTTGGAGCTCCTGCACCAACTTTGTGTCAGGTAAGTTTTTTTGTTTTATTTCTAACAGTAAAAAGTAAAATTTCAATGCTGATTTCAAAAGGACAACTCGTTTTGAGGTTTTGTTATTATCTTACAAAGGTATTTTTACCTGACTCTGCAGTAAATTGGCTACATTTTGATGTCTATATTGCATGCTTTGACATAACCTAAAACTGAAATTTGGAGGGAAATATAAAAAAAATGTCACCTGGGGTACTTGTGGACAGCAAAAATGGGGAACTTATGGACGTCCACATGTGCCCTGGCCTAACCTTTAAGCATGTTTCACTGATTATTTTGCCTTAAACATAGCCTGAAATATGTACTAGGTTGTCTTTTACTTAAAATAAGTAACTTATGCAAACTAAATTTAAAGTAGTAGGCCTTATTAAAGCAGGCCTTGGCCTAAAATATTAAAACCTATGTTTTTAATGGAACATTATTTGTATTTTTTGTAGGCTTACCTATTTTTGAAAATGGGCCACATTTAAGTTTCAATCTTTATCCAAACACATTATCCCTTACCGGTACTTATGCAATATTTTATATTATAGTCACAATGGTGAGAACCTACACACCCAAAACTGGACGAGCTACAATTTCTGAAAAAGCCATCCAACGAGCACTTCAGGACATTCTTAATGGATACTGTTCCATTAGAAAGGTAGCTGCTGACCATGGGTTGTCAAAGTCAATGCTTCACAAACGTTTCAAGAAATTGGGCCTGGAAAAAGATGTGGATGCCCCAATTTTAGATCTACCGCCAGCACCAGGTAGCATCAACCAGAAATTGTCTCTTGCAACATCTGACACCGACGAATCGCAAGAATCGATTGATTTTGATAAAGATGGGGGAATAAGCCCACTTATTTTGAGTGAGGAAAGCGAAAGGGAAGAGGAATGTGAAGAGAGATGGAGCAACATCAAAGTTAATGAGATTTTGTTTTGGCGAAGTTGGTTTGAAAAAAAAACTGTTTGGCATTTTGTTGCCCAAATAAGTGAAATACATGGTTTGACGAATTCACAGTCAATTTCTTATTTGCTTGGACCTCCTAAATTTGTAATTCCTGATGTATCGGATGAGAGTGTTTTGTACGTCACTGACGTAGTTATTAAACTTGGTCAGCCTAAAGTTGTAGGAGGGACTGAAAGAGCAGTCAGCATTTTCATCTTTAAGTTTAATTTTGATAACTTTCAAATGGGATAGGCCAATTCCTTGAAAATGTTTCACTAAAGATAGTCTATAAGAGGGGCTGAAAGAGTTTAACAATAATTGTTATCATTGTGACTATTAAAAGAAAGTTATATGAGAAGCGGTTGATAAGATTGTAAGCTAATATCATGTTTTTAGTGAAATTTTACTATTGAAAAGGCTTTAAAACTGGGGATGGACTTGTTAAAAACATCGTAAAATTTGTTTTTAAGACTAATAGATGTGCAAATAAACATAATTAGAAAAAATTTGGGTGTTTTGAGTACATTTTCCTTGTGTCCACATGTGCCCCATGTAATTTTTTCTTTGTCCACTTGTACCCTAGGCGATGTCACACGCACACAATAAATTTATTTATTAATTTATTGTGTGCGTGTGACATCGATGTCTTCGTTTTTGTAACCATGACGATGCCGTATTTACGGCGAAACATGTAGGTTGTTAACCTCAAACAACATTTGGATTACTTGACGAGGTATAGTTCCATTATTATAGTCGGGAGCGTTTCATAAATTCCAAATTTCACAAACTCCAACGCTTAAAATATTAAATGAACAGCGCGTTTCATAATGTCCAAATTTCATAAGCTCCAAAACTATAACATTCAAATAATCACTGTTTCACAATGTCCAAGTTTCACAAACTCCAACGTTTAAATATTAAATAAACAGAGCGGTTCATAACCTCCAAATTTCATAAGCTCCAAATCTATAACATTCAAATAATCACTGTTTCACAATGTCCAAGTTTCACAAACTCCAACGTTTAGATACCAAATAAACAGAGCGGTTCATAATATCCAAATTTCATAACCTCCAACGGTACAGTCTAGGCCAGAAGTCTCTCTAGGTAGTGGTTGCCACAGTCAGATAGCAGGCACCGTTCGTTAGCGCTCAACTACTGATTATACGTACATTTTAATGATTGAAGAACACTCAGCTGTGTGACTCAAATATGTGTTAGCACACAATGTGCAAAACAAATTTACATTTTAGCGAATTTCCCCCATAGGGAATAAGCTATTACCGTAGTACTCATGGTAAGACCTGGTCCCAGGACCGATTTACTTTTTTGTTTTGAGGTCCCTAGAGACCAAAAACACCATCAGTTCAAATTCATATATATATATCTATCTATATATATAAAAGGCAAAGCCCTCACTGACTCACTCACTCACTCACTCATCACTAATTCTCCCACTTCCCATTTACCTAGGAGGCTGAAATTTGGTACACTGATTCTTTAGGCATTAAATAGGAAAACTAAGTTGTTTTTATTCTGATCGGACTCTCGGGCTCCGCCCCAGTGGCTTTGGAGTTTCCCATGTTAATCTTATGAGTACTTATATTTAAATGGAATTTTATGAATCTTAACAGCTGTTTTAATTAAACAAGTTGGTTCTGTTCTATGATGTTCAATAGCGTTAAAGTTATAAGGATTACCAACAGGGTGCAGCACTATTATTTCTTTTACATGTAGGACAACAGCTAATTTGTAACCAAAAGGTGAGTGAGCGTAGCGAACAAACTTCAACCTGGAGGCGAGCGAGCGTAGCGAACGAGCTAACCTGAAGGCAAGTGAGCGCAGCGAACGAGCTCCAACCTAAAGATGAGTGAGCGTAGCGAACGAGCTCCAACCTAAAGGTGAGTGAGCGTAGCGAACAAACTTCAACCAGGACGTGATTGAGCCATGCGAACAAGATCATCTTGAAAATTAAGAAGTTAAACGGGGCAAAGCCCGCGGGTTACAGCTAGTCTTCTATATATATAAAAGGCAAAGCCCTCACTGACTCCCTCACTCATCACCAATTCTCCCAAGTCCCATTTACCTAGGAGGCTGAAATTTGGTACACCGATTCTTTAGGCATTAAATAGGAAAACTAAGTAGTTTTTATTCTGATCGGACTCTCGGGCTCCGCCCCAGTGGCTCTGGAGTTTCCCATGTTTAACCTTATGAGTTCTCATATTTAAATGGAACTAGTGGCTTGTAGGGACATAAGTCCCTAAAAAGCTCAAATGTAAAACCACTTTTTGCAATACCGGTATTTAAACAAACTCAGAATAACATTATCTATGTGTCAGAATAGGCATCCCTACACCATATCTTTTGTGTAAAAACCAGTTTGTTGTTCTTCTTTGTTTGCTTTTGTTGATGTCATTTTCAATAAATAATTTGAATCACTCCAGTGGTTTAACATGAAAAGGCAGCAAACATATCATTGTTTGTGAATAAATACTGGTTTACTAAGGTAGCTTTGGTCTTGTGGTTAATGAGGATAAATAAAAGCTTCCCTGTTTGGAATTTTAAAAATTCATTGGAGGTTCGCCTTCAGATGAATTGAAG